CATTAAAGAGGCTCATCTTCCTCACATGAAGGTCCCTCATCACACAGCAGGAGTTCAGGGTCTCCTCCTCCTCTTCATCATCGTCTCAGATCTAATGTCCTCCTCTTCAGCAGGGCTGCAAGCTGTAAATCTGTCAGGGATACAAATCTAAAAGTGAATATATCAGGGGTTTATATCTGAATCTAAAAGTGAATATATCAGGGGTTCATATCTGAATCTAAAAGTGAATACTGATGCACAGTTTACTGGATGTACCTATAAAGTGTTCTAGGATAATTATCAGGTCCCCATTTCAATTTAACAAGTTCTAGTCCTTTCAAATTAATACTTTACATTTCACTAATGCACATTTAGTTCAACGTGCTTTGTGCAGGAGATTTATTTTTCTATTCCCCTAAAGCCATTAGCTGTTACACACCGAAAGGGTGATGATTAAATGTAAATGTATAACCCTCGCCTGAGAATATTCTATGTCTGAACCCTAGATTCCACCGGGTCCGTCTGCGCCACGTTACGGCCGCGCCGTTCACAGCCACTCTAGTCAATGGGTGCTATTCCACCAGACGCGCCGCGTTATGGCTGGAAGCGTCCCAGAAGCGTCTCGGCACTGGGCTCCACAAAAAATAGGCGGCTGGTCTATTGTCGACGCGCCGGGAAGGAAGTGGACCGGTCAGAGCATCCAGTCAATCCCCAAAATAAACCAACCCTATCCCTCCGTAGTCTTTCAAGTAGGAGGAGCAATGCCAGCGTTCTCCTCCGCTTTACAGGCACTGTGTAAATATATATATAGAATAATTTTGAGGATGAAGGCATTTTTTTACCACTAAAATACAGCAACACATCTTTGATTCATGTCGTTTATAACTGGACTACTATTACAATTATTATTAACTCTGTCAGTACAAAGTAGCCTGTCCAGGAAATATGCCCAAATCAACAAAAACTGCGAGCCAGCAGGCAAGACGCTCCGCCTCTGCAACGCGCCCGGAGGATTTGACGCTGTAGGAGGTCGGAACAAAACTGCGGCGCAGCCGTAACGCGGCGCAGACGGACCCGGTGGAATCCCGGGGTGAGGCTTTTATTGTGACAGAGTGGATCTGGTATCTGCCTTCTGTCAAAGTGTCCTGTCTTCGTCTTGATGACAAAGCGTTTATATTGTTGTTTTATATAAATAAGCACAACATACTGTAATTGGTTGTAATGGTGCAAAAGGTCAAAAAAAATACCATGTTACGTTTATTTTTTGGTGCAAAATAGCATTATTTGTGAAGACACAACATCAGTTTGAAAAATGATATTAATGCAGGGATTACACAAAAAAAAGCCTCTGTTGTTTAAAGAGTTTAAGATGATGACACAGATAAATAGTCTACAGTTTGCAGCAGCTTTTTGTTGGCATCTAAAAGCAGCCGTTAGCTACAGTTAGCAGCTATTAATAGCTGTTAGCATCTAAAAGCAGCAGTTAGCTACAGTTAGCAGCAGCTAATAGCTGTTGGCATCTAAAAGCAGCAGTTAGCTACAGTTAGCAGCTATTAATGTCTGTTAGCATCTAAAAGCAGCAGTTAGCTACAGTTAGCATTTAAAAGCAGCAGTTAGCTACAGTTAGCAGCAGCTAATAGCTGTTAGCATCTAAAGGCAGCAGTTTACAGTTAGCAGCAGTTAGCATTACTTTGCTGCAGTTAGCAGTTAGCAGTTGTTAGCCGTTAGCAGCAGTTAGCATTACTTTGCAGCAGTTTACATCTGTTAGCAGCCGTTAGCATCAGTTTGCAGCCCTGCTCTGAGTGTCAGTAGCACAGTGAGCTGCACGTCTCCTCACCACCATCATCATCATCATCATCTTTTTTAAAGTTTTTTTTTATACACAGGGAGGCGGAGAGCTCAGTTTAATTTATTGAGTCATTTTTAAGTTTTTCTTTTCTTATTTAGCAACAGAAAGTGGACACGATGACCTCCTTCATTCTGGGCAACATGCTGCAACATATGCAAAATCTTCAGAAACAGAGACTGTGCTCTCAGCTGCCGCCATGCCTTACACCGTGCTTTAATACAACCTCATGTGCACGCTGACCTGCGCACGTGGACTTCAACACACACCCTCACGTGCACACTGATCTGCACGTGAACTATGCACCCCCCCGCCCACTCTGGTGCCATAAATCCAACTCAGCTTCTCCTCAAACAGGACATTTCAGTGTTTGGTTCTTCTCTGAGACTACATCCATCTAAATATAGCAAACGGAGATTTACTAAGCCATAGATTTTCCAGGTTGTGTTTATTGTTTTATTATTTTTTTCGTGGCGAGGTCTTTTTCTACTAGAATGTAAAAAACCACCAGATTTAAAAAGGATGTTTCAGCCGAGCCTTAAGGGACCAACACATAAGAGACAGCTCTTATCATTTTCTGTTCTGTTTTTTATGAAAAAAGATATCTATATATATATATATATAATTACTATGATAAAGGTAGTGTCATTATTCTATCTAAAGGACAAAAAAATAATGTAGCACCTGATTTAGTTTCAAGTGTTGGACAGACTGCTGCTCTTCATCTTATTGATCAGATATCAGAGTTCAGCAATAAGTGCACTTCTGAACCTGCAGTCTGTTGCCTCTTCTCTTTCTTTATGATGCATAAAGTGCGTATGTGCTGCTACGTGTTGGATGTAAATACCTTCAGATGGCCTGAATCTGATCTCTGTGCCATGTCAATACGACACACACCTTTCAGAAGAGTGTGAGATATCAAAAGCCTTTAGAGGGTGAAGTGCTGCAGGAGGGTCAGCTGATGCTCCTCTTCTTACACCTCCTCCTAACGAGACAACAACTCAATATCATTTCAGCTTTTCTAAATAAACTGGACCTAATCTGCAGCAAGCGGATCACCCTGGCTCCATCCCTGCAACATTTAGATTAGTTCATCCACTTCCAACGCGTTGACGCTGACGTCCCAGAGTGACGTTTCCCTGCAGGGATCTGAAGCTAAGACACCTATATGTCTGCAGACGGACAAAGGCTCCAGTTAGGACATTTCTTTAACCATTTGTCCACTCCCAATCTGATTACATCTACCCAGATGTCCCCAAATGTCCTACAGTTGCTATCTTCCCTTTAGTCATTAAATAACTAGGACAGGTACTCATTTACTGAACAAATAAATGCTCGCCTTGTTTCTTTCTCTGCAGTTTCTTTACACTTAAGACCTATTTTTATAAATCCAACGAGGCGTCCTTAAGTTTCCTTTTCCCTGCAGTAACATTACCAATCTTAACATCTCTAATCGTATATTTGGACATGTTTTCCCTCTCCGTCTGCAGAGTTGTTTACGTCTGTTAGGAAGAGGTGTATTGCTATAGAAGTGCATCAACACCTGGATCCTGCAGCTTCTCAAAGTGTACAAAATGTGTAAAGTCACATATCCGCCATCAGGAGATGTTTCAGTGGTTCCTCGGCAGACGTTGGTTATAAGCAGAAGAAATCTTAAATATGTAAAAAAGGTCAGCAGAGCATTACTGTATATATCTGGAGGACAACAGAAGAAGTGGATTTCGCTGCTATATTGAATACAAAAGGGTCTCTGCTGATTTCATGTTTAATGTGTACTAAAGTGGCCAAACTGGACTGGAGTCCTTCATGTGTTAAAGATCCATATAAAGTCATTCTCTGGGACATCGGCAACAACAAAAGCTCACCTCGGGTACGAGACCTTCATCTGTCTTAAAGTCACCAGCAGCCTTCTTTCTTTCTAACGGATGACTTTCTGTACAGATCCTCGCCTTCTTTTCTCTCTCTGCTCATTCCACATTAGCAGGTGTTTCTCTGACCTACAGCGCTGCAGCCGGCCTCAAAAACACAAAACCCGCTCACCTGCAGCAGGTAATAAAGAAGAAACACCTGGAAGTATCTGAGGATCGAACACAGGGGGAACAGAGCACACTTTGTAGTCAGCTTCAGAGGGAAGTCCTGGTCTCCGGCACAATCTGCATCAACGCGCAGCTATGGCTAGTTCTCAAGCTATGCTCTTACATGCTTGAATTTGAAGGATTTTGGCCTGGACTAGGGCTTACATCTGAAGACTAAGAACTCTTGAAGAGTGGAGAACGATCAGGGGTAGATTGATGCTTCTAAATCCTAAATGAGTAATCAAAGAAAGAAAGAAAAGCTACATCTCTGACGGTGCAAAGTGTGCTCTGGTGTCCTGCAAGCAGACGATGTGACGTTCTCTACATCCGACCCTCGTCTGACTCGTTCTCCTGGGTTTTAAATGGATTATGTTTTAGTTTAAGGAGTTGTTAAAGTACTCTTGGGGTTTTGGTGATGATGGAGGGCCTGAACGTGGAGGGTTTATCTCTATCTATGCCAGCAGCAGAATATTATCCTCACTCAGCTGTGAATGTACTCTCGTTATGCAAAGCTGCATCGAACACACCTATCTATGCGAGCAGATCCACACACTGTGAGGGGGGGGGAACCTCCGCCCAGCAGGGGGCCCTCCATCAGGTGACACACAGGAAGTGGGCCTCCATCAGGTGACACACAGGAAGTGGGGTCAGCTGCAGCGTAGCATCAAAGCTTTATATGTTTGTTTGGTGCCTCTGCATGGTTGTGTGCTTCTAGACGTCGTCCTGAGGAACAAAAGAGCATCATTTGAAAAGGTCTCAAATACCTCCTCTGAAAGACCAATGTGTTTTACCTCACTGTAAATATCTTCTTCTCTTTTGTTTCTATGAAATGCTTAAACTCTGGAGTGTATTGTTTCGTGTTGTTAGCAGGTGTGTGTCACGCTTTAATACCTGCAAGCCGCCGCGGGGGTAACGCCTTCAACATGTCTTTTGCTTCATGAAAAAATACCAGAGGGTGGAGAAGGAGACATGTTGATCCTCCACCCTCCAGTTTCTAAACATATTATAACCTTTTGATATAGTGTGTACAGACGGATGAGAGGTCATAGGAATAGAGGATTGACACGTAGGCTATGTTAACTTCTAACATAGCTGGAGTA